GTTTCAGCTCCTCGAATTCCCCCTGACATTCTGAAGTCCACTGGAAACCGGTGGTTTTCCTCATGATCTGGAGGAAGGGTAAGGACTTCTCCGCCGATTTTGATAAGAAGCGGTTGAGGGCTGCCAGGCGGCCCATCAACCGTTGGACCTCCTTCACGTTGCGTGGGGGCTCCATGTTGATGATGGCCTGGATTTTCTCGGGGTTGGCCTCAATACCCCTTCGGCTAACCATGTAGCCCAGGAATTTTCCCCCTGGACGCCGAAGGTACACTTCTTCGGGTTCAGCCGAAGGCTAAACTTCTGCATGATGACGAAGATCTCCCTCAGGTCGTCAGCATGGCTTGCGGACTGCTTGCTTTTGACGATCATATCGTCAACGTATGCCTCCATGGTGCGCCCTAGGACAACTTGGAATATCCTGGCCACCATCCGAGTGTAGGTGGCACCTGAGTTCTTTAGGCCGAAGGCCATGACGAGGTAGCAGAAGATGCCCTCGGGAGTCATGAAGGCTGTTTTTTCAGCGTCTTCCTCATGCATGTATATTTGATGATATCCGCGGAATGCGTCGAGGAAAGACATAATCTCACACCCCGCGGTTTCATCCACAAGTTGATCAATATTTGGCAAAGGAAAGGGGTCCATGGGACACGCCTTGTTAAGATCCGTGTAGTCCACGCATATGCAGAATGAGGGCGGTTTCTGTGCGAGGACTACGTTCGCCAGCCATGAGGGGTACTTTACCTCCTTGATGTGCCTGATAGAGAGGAGCATGGCGACCTCTTTCTTCACAAATTCCCTCCTCTCGGCCGAGAGGGGTCTCCTCCGCTGCTGTACTGGTTTGGCCGAAGGGTCCACCGAGAGGCGGTGGGTGATGACCCTTCGGCTGATCCCCGGCATGTCCTCCGGCCCCCATGCAAAAACAATGGAGTAGGCGCGGAGGGCGTTGATGATGCCGGTCTTCAAATCTTCGGGGAGCTTGGCTCCAATCTTCACGACTCTCTCCGGCTTGGCCGGATCGAGCGCGAAGTCTTCTGCCTCCTCGACTGGTTCAGCCCTCGGCCTCCTTTCTTCCGCTTACACAGTTCCGGTGATGGTGTCAACGCGGAACTCCATCTTGCTAACCTTCTTTGTAACTTGAAGGTAGCAAGCGCGGGCAAGCTTTTGGTTCCCCCTCGAGTAACCGATTCCCCCCTCGGCTGGGAACTTGAGGCAGAGGTGCCTCATGGAGATGACGGCTTCGAGGTCCTCGAGGGCTGGCCGGCCGAGGATGATGTTGTGGGCGCAATCGATGTTGACGACGACGAACTCCACTTCGAGCTTGGATCTATGGAGGCCGTCGCCGAAGATTACCGGGAGGGTAATGACCCCCTCGGAATCAATGGTGTCGCCGGTGAAGCCGGCAAGAGGAGTCTTGATGGGCCGAAGGGACCCTCTCTCCAGATGCAGCTCTCTGAAGGTGCTGAGGTACATTACATTGACGGAGCTGCCCGTGTCAATGTAAGTTCTGTGAATAATGGTGTCGTTGATCTCTGTGCGGATGACGAGGGCATCCCTGTGGGGGGAGGATACTGGGGGGAGATCAGTGTTGGTGAAGATAATGGGTTCCTCCCTCAGCCGCTTTACCGGGGGCATATGAGTGACTTCCCCCACGTAAAGTGATTGAGCCCACTTCTTTCGTTGACTTGTAGAATCACCCCCGGTATTTTCCCCCGTAGTCATGAGGATGTGGTGTTTCTTTTCTTGGTACCGGGGGTACTCCTCCTCCTCCTCCAGATTTCCAATCTCCCTCTTCTTGCCGAGGGGGATGGTGTTGGGGTTGACCCATGCATTCCCTCTCGCAGTTTGCCCTCGGGGTGGCCTCTGATGAGGGGTGCCTGTTGCTGAGGCCCCTGGACAAACTGGGACAGATGGCCCGCTTGTATCAATCTCTCGATGGCCGTCTTCAGCTGATGGCAATCATCGGTCCTGTGCCCCTGGTGTCGGTGGAAACGACAGTAGGGGTAGTTTGGATTGATGGCAAATACTTCCGAGGGCACGCGTGAATCTCGTTCCACGAGGCCCCTCTCCTCAGCAAAGTCCAGGATGACGCTGACGGGGTGCGTCAATGGTGTCCGAGGGTGCTCCAGGAGGACAGGCTGTGCCCAAGCCCTCGGGTTCCCCTTGTAGCCTCCCCCGGGCTTGGCTTGGCCATGTCGGGGGCGATCACCGGAGGGGGCAGGATCCCTGGGATGATTGCGGGGAGCCCCCGACCCTCGGTTACCTTTGTCTTCTGGCCGAGGGCGTTGCTGGTCTGGGACATGGTGGCATTTCTCCACCTCCTCGGCCTCGGCGTACCGGTCCCCCCGCTGTAGGGCCCTTATATAATCGCGGAGGGGGTTCGATGATGAGACTCCTTGAGAAGTTCCCGGGGCGGAGTATAGTTTGGAGGAGGGCCAGGAGGGTCCGGTCGTCAGCGCCATCAACTTTATCAGCCTCCGTCCTCCAGCGCTCCAGGAACTCCCGAAGGGTCTCCTCCTTCTTCTGCCTCACTGTTAGTAAGTGGGAGAAGTGTTTTCTTGTGCGGCGCATCCCCGCAAATTGCGTCAAGAATCGTTGGGCGAGTTCTTGCCATGAGTCAATGCAGCCCTCGGGCAATCGATTGAACCATTCGTAAGCTGGCCCTCTAGGGTGGAGAGGAACCAGCGGCACAAATATTCATCCGATGCCCCCACCATCATCATGTTGTTTTGATACCTGTTGTAGTGCTCTTGGGGGTCAGTCTTTCCGTCATAGGGCTTGATGAGCTGCCCTCGGTATTTCTCCGGGATCCGGGCCGCCAATACCCTTGGGGTAAATGGCGTCCAGGTCCGGAGCTGTATGGTGGGTTCCCCGGAGCCCTCGGCTATCTTCTTCTGCATTTCTTCCATCTTGGCCATCATCGCCTCATACTTGAGGTCTGTATGAGGGGCAGAAGTGGTGGCGTGGGCCTTGGTGGCCTCCATCTCGTCAAGCCGGCGCTGGAGGGCCGCAATGATTTCGTCCCGGGGGTCCTTCGGGAGGGCCTCCGCCCCCTGCGAATGGACCCGGGCCGAGTGGGCCTGATTGATTTGGTGGCGTGCGTCGTCGGCATGGAGAGGTGCCTTGCCCTTGTCCTGATGGGGACGTCTTTCATTGGCCCTGGAGACGGACCCGCCACTTTCCTCAGGTCTTTGGAACGCCTTCCCCCCGAGGCGGTCTTGGACCCCTCGGCGGTCTTGCGCCCCTCCGAGTCTCTCGAGGGCGGAGGACCGGAGTTGTTCCCCGTTCACGTTGTGGCGGTCCCGGGACTGTACTTCTTGGGAGGCCGTATCTTGGGCCACGATCCCCTCGGAGTTCCCCATCCGGAGGACCGGGTTGCCAAGGGGTCGTGGATGAGAGGGAGGCATAATATTCTCCCCCACCTGAGGTTGGAGGGGAACCAAAGTGTCGAAGGCACCCGGGTTCTGGGTGAGCGTCTGGATGAAGGCGGAGAGCGCCGATTGTACGTCTATGGTGATGACCGGAGGGCTAATTTGATTCTCGCTCCGGTCCTTCTTTTTGGCCTCGATGCCGAGGCGGGCATCGGGGGCATTTTGCTGAATCTGCTGGCGTAGGTCGACAGCCGTCTGGTCCAACCCGGCGATGACGCCGCCCCCGGGAGCCCTGTTGGAGGCTTCGGGGACGTCGACCTCGCCGAGGGCCAGGTTCCTGTCCTCTACATTCTTGGAGTTGGCACGAGTTGTTCTCACCATTTTAGATGGGTGTTTTTGTGTTTGGTCGAGGGGGAGGGTTTCTTACTTGATTGTTCGACCTCTCAACGAGAGCACCAAATGATGGATAGTGTACCCTGGGGGTAGCTTATCCGAGGGGTTATTACGGGGAATAACTAGAGAGAAGTCAGAGCAAGTAAGTATAGAGAGAGAAAGTATATTTAGAAAGTCTGCAGCGTTATCAGCGTGTTATCACTTGGTTACAAATGGGGAAATGGGGTGCTATTTATAGTAGCAATAAATGCCGGACAGGGACACGTGTCAAGCGTCTATTGGCCGAGAGGTCATCTCAACTGGTTGGCGCTGACAACCGCATGTGGCCGCATTTAATGCGGCTGTTGGATGGGACGTAGTACAGGGTATGGTGATCTGTACGCATGTGGCACGGATATCATGTCGGGAAAGGTGCCCTCGGCTGTAGAGGACTAGCCGAGGGCTCTGAGCACCGGGGATCCCCTTAGTGCCGAGGGCTCCAGGTGTCGAGGGCTACTGATTTTCGCCGTTTTTCCCAGTAACTTTGTTTTGCTGTCTTGGCCCTCCTGTGAGAGTTAGTGCCTTTGGCCAGGAGGCCGAAGGCACCCCTGGTGCGCATTGTGGGCTGCTTGGTACTCTGGGCGCTGTGATTTGGGCCTCTTGTGCTTTCTGGGCCGGCCTGTTGGGCCTTTATTGGAGTAGTAGGAGTCTGTGGGCCGGGGGTTCCCGGGCCATATACTCCATCAGCAATATATCAATGGTTAAAGTTACGTTGTGCGTTAACAAACATGAAAATAAAAATGTTGCAATAAAAAAGAAGGGATAATTGCAATTTTAGTCTTGTAACTTTCGGTTGTACCTATTATTTGTCTTGTAATTTTATTTTGTTGCAAACTTGTTCATGTAACTAATACGGAGTAATTCTTTACAATTTAAGAACTTTTCCACCAGATAGTATACATTCCTTCGGATAATTCAACGTCGGCGACGTCTTTTCCGACGAATTACATGATTAATTGTTTGTCGCATCGTATCAAATATTAAATCAATAATATGTGAGATATTGAATTACTTATACCGCTAGTTTAATCTTGCAAGATAAAAAAAAATGATGGAAAGAGGGTCGTTCTTAGCTTTAAGGTACCGTTTAGAATCGTTTTGTTTGGCTCGTGTTATCTAGCTAGTTAATCTTTCAAAATTCAATTTTCATTCCATTTGTACATCATAGCTAAGTATAAATAGAAAGTTGTGTTGACGTACAATGGAACAATCACGGACGGGCATGGTGAGGGTACGATCAGATTGAGCCTTGAAAGGTATTAAGGCGGAGCCGACGATCTTAAGCAGGAAAAGATTTTCATCGTGATCGGATGGCAACTTTTGGTAAGCTTTCATGCGATGGCGGAGGTTGTTCCAACCCACGGCGGTGTTGGTGCAGCCCAACATTTCCTCCGGTATTGGAACCTCAAGCACCGTTTCCAGCCCATCTTCTTTGTCCAAATTCGGACAAAGCTTTCGCATCTATATATACTCCGATCCTTTTGATTAGCTAACTAGCTCGGGACCTTTTCCCCTTGAATTCGTGGGGATGATATTAGGAGGAAGAGAAAGCTAAAGCCGCAATGAATTGAGGATAATAGCCTTCTAGGAGTATAGGAAAAGAGGATGGTACGTAATTTGTAAGGTGGAAAGAGGAAATATAGGAAGACCAGACATGTAAACATTGGTGGCCCGATTTATAGTGACTACAAAATCTAACATTTTAGCAATAATAAGAGCCCAAAGTTTTTTAGCTAATTTCCCCTTAATGGGAGTTAAACATATGGAAAGTGCATTAATAGGAGTTCTTTAGCTAATTTCCCCAAATTGGAGCTGTTTTCTGCCGCCATATGTTATTCTTTTATTTTCTTCCTTAAATGCCCTTACTTTACACGGAAGCATTGCCACATAAGTAACCTGTTTCTAACCGTTTCTTCCGGTTGGAGATTTCCGCTGCGCAGCATTTTTAATTTTTTTTTTCCTGCGATTAACATTCTTAAGCATCGTCTTGGTTCTGTTCTCTCTTCCGACTTGCCATTGCTTCTGATTTTGCGAATTTAGGTGTTTTCATTGGCATTACGCATACTTGTGCCCTGCGTTTTCCGCAGGTAAGCTTACTACTTGATTTTCCGGAATATTGATTACATCTTTCTTCGAATGTTCTTCTAATATTACTGAATGGTGATGATATGTAATTGTGCATATATGTGTTTCGTAAATTAATTCTGATAGTTTCAGTTTAGTTTTGATGTAATTCGTATTTGTTTTATGATTTTTTTTGTTTGTAAATTTCTTGTGTAAGAATTTTGATTTGTGTTGTTCAATTGGTGATTTACATTGTGATTCGATGTTGTTTGATTATCGTTTTAAATTTTTCCATAACTTCATTTGTTTTGTGTCATTGTTAGCTACTCTTTGGTTGGCATTAAATGTCATAATAACAGTTTTCCTGTACTGATTCATGTATTATGTTGTCTTGCTGAACTTTTCATTATTTTTTAGGCATTAATTTCTACAAATGGTTGATATGTTGCTTGTTATGCTTAAGTTGGACGGTACATGGTTGTCTGATAATACATTTTCAAGTTTGGATACATTTGGTATTCATATTGGACTTCATTCTTCCTACACAAGCTTGCTTGATCTGCTGCGTGGAATCTTTAATCAGTACAAACCAAATCATTCATTCAGGGTTTCTTATATTGTTGATGGTTGCCCCCCTCCTGTTTTTATTGTTGATGATGAATCTTTGAAATTCTATCTTTATATGAAGTGTTTGCAGTCGGATGTTGCAAAGTTACCACTATGTGTGGAGTTTAAGTCTGAAAGTGTTTCTGTGCTTCATGACTTTGTACCACTTCATAACTCACTTGTACATGGTTCTACTACATCTTCATTGTCTTTGCATGTGAGTGACTCTGATTGTAGTAATCAAGGGAATGGGTTGCATAGCAGTTTGGCTTCCATTGATGAAGAAGATGAGTTTTCCTCTTCCTCAGAAACCAACATTTCATCCTCAACTATTTTGCCTAATTTTTCTGGTATTGGTTCCAAATCATTATCCTTACAGCATGCCTCTGTGAACCACCCAGTTGACGTAATTAGTCATTATCATCCAACATGTGTTATGATTAATGCTATTTACACGAACAAGGCTGACTTACTTCATCATTTAAAGTTGTATGTCATCACCAACAGTTTCCAATTCAGAACTCTAACATCAAGGAAGAAAGAATTACACATTATTTGTTTGGATCCGTCGTGTGAGTGGGCAGTTCGTGCAGTCAGATTAGATGGTGTACAAATGTTTGAGATTAGAAGGTATGTTGTCATGCTAACTTATATCTAATATTGTTTTTGTTTTTCTCATTATTTTTTTTGTATTATGTGATAACATTTTGTTCTTTGTCTTCCATTGCATTTATGAACAGTTATCTATTGTTATCGTTACAGGCTTGATGCTGTACACACTTGCTCTGTTGACTATAGGCAATTTAATAGTAGACATGCAACATCTAGTGTTATTGCTAATCTTGTGGCACACAAATTTTTGGATGCTTCTGTTAAACCTTATACGCCAAAACAGATTAGGCATGATATGAATTTGGAATATGGGATTTCTATGTCATACAAGAAAGCTTGGGAAGCACAGAAACGTGCAAAGGAAAGGCAGTTCGGATCTGATGCAGAGTCATACCAGAAGCTACCTTCAATGGCGTATGTTCTTGAAGAAGCAAATCCAGATTCTACCATAAAACTTGTAACTGTTGCTGATGGTGCATTTCAGTATTTTTTCTTTTCACTAAAACCTTGGCGTGAAGCATGGGAGTTTTGTAGACCTGTACTTATCTTAGATGGTTCGTTCATGAAGGCATATTACAAAGGCACTTTGTTTACTGCTTGTGCTCAAGATGCCAACAACCACATCGTTCCCTTGGCATTTGCAATCTGTGATTCTGAAACCAAAACATCTTGGCTATGGTTTCTAAGCAGGTTGAGTGGTTCAATCTCTATGCGAAGCGATATGTATATAGTCTCTGATCGCCACAAAGGCTTAATCTCTGCTGCTGCTGAAGTCTTCCCCCATGCTCTTCATGGGTTTTGTGTTGAACACCTGAGGCGTAATTTGATTTCAAAATTCAGAGGTGGTGCCAATGGTCTTGGATGGAAGTTTAAAGCTGCTTATTCAGCAAACACTATGCAAGAACTTGAGGAATATTTGTCAATGTTGGACACAGAAGATGCTAGAATCCGACCTTGGTTAAGTAAAGTTGGTAACCATAGATGGGCTAAGTGTGTTGCTGGTCCACGCAGATATGGCATCATGACATCAAATTGTGCAGAATCGTTAAACAAAGTAAATGTTTGTGCTAGAGAGTATTCAGTTTGTAAATTGGTTGATTTCTTGCGTGAAAGAATGCAACAGTGGTTCACGGAAAGAAGTGAGGAAGCCCTTAAAACATACACTTTCTTGACCCCCAAATTCGAGAACCATTTAGTTGCTGTGTAAGCTGAATCCACACGCATGCAGGTTTTAGTGTTTTTCTTGTTTCACTAATAGATGTTGTAACTTATTGCCATAAGTGTTGTTATATTTCCAAATGTATTTTTGTTGCCATCTATCATTTTATGAATATGACTTGGCTTTTGTTTTCTTACATTCGTTATTTCGTAACTGTATTTTTTATATGTTTTCTATCAGGTGAAATCAACTTTATATTTCGAGTTTGAAGTCGTGGATCGCTATTGTAGATCTTTTGTGGTTAACCTCAACCACAAGACTTGTACCTGTGGTAGTTTTCAATTGGAACAATTTGTGTGTGCTCATGCAGTTGCTGCTATTCGTGTGCGCCCCCGTTTATCTTGCTATGACTTCATCTCACCATTCTATTCATGTGATTCATGGCTTTCGACTTGGAGTGCTGCTGTACATCCCATTGTTGATCCACAATCATGGTTGGTTCCTCAACATGTTCGTGATCAGATTTGCAAGCCGCCAAGTTGTCTCAAAAGACCTGCTGGACGTCCTAAGAAGGCCAGAATTCCTTCTGTTGGGGAGTTTCGTGGATCTGGATCTAAACGACAAAAGTGCTCTCGCTGCCATATTCTTGGACATAATAAAAAATCATGTCGCAATCCTATCCCTATTTCTATGCAGTGATTATACAGTTTTATCAGTCATACTTTTTTAGTGACAAACAATGTTTCTGCTGTTTTTTTGTTTTGTAATAGAGCACAATAATAATGTAGAACGTTGGGAGAGGAGAGAATATAATGGGAATTGAAGTAACGATTGTCCTTGCACTGGTTCTCGTACTATTTTATCTAGTCTTATCTTTTTTTTAAGGTTATGATGTATGTTCCATTTCCCAATGTCAGATGGCAATATTGTCTGTAATTGTTCAATAAGATGTTCATAATGGAAATAATTGACATATCAATAATGTTTGCAATGTATTATCATCTTTTTGTTTAACATGTATTAGGACTGCGAGTCCTTTGTTAATATTTTGGACGTTTTTACATTTATTTCAATAAAAACAAATATACCAAAAATACCCTTTTATGTTAATTTAACCTAGCTACTTTGTTTACATCAATGTCAATTTTTTCCCAAGCGTAGTGTGTACTTGTTCTTTCAAATATTGAAAATTGTTATTCCTAATTATCTTATTTTTTTAAGTTAACATGTTTGTTCCACTTCCAAATTTAGGATGGCAATATTTTATGTAATTGCTCAATAATGTTTTGAAAATTGAACTAATTGACATATCAATAATGTTTGGAATATGTTAACATTTTTTCTTTAACATCTATTACGACTGTGAGTCCTTTTTTATATTTTCAACTTTTTTACATTGATTTCAATATGAATATATACCAAAAATACCTATTTTTGATGTTAATGTCATACCTAATTTGTTTATGTCAATTGTTTCCAAACATAGTGTAGACTTGTTCTTTGAAATATTAAAAAAAATGTCTTCCCTAATTGTGTATAGTATAATGTACTTATAAAAAAAATTCATACAGTATTCATACATTATTATAAATACATAACTTTCTATTCATTTTGTTTTCCTGAATGAAAAAATAAACATGGCTTTGAAAAATTATCAAACAGACCATATTGTTCTTCTACCAATCAGGAAAATATGTATTTTTGTGACATGGTTAAGTATTGCCAATAAATGCCATCTGTTCAATAGAAATAAGCTGACAAAAAAAGTGATGATAATAGTTGTCATTGTTTAATACTTGTAACTTTTCCAAAGTAATAGAAATAACCACAACCAGAAATGTCAAGCCAAACATACCCACTCGACCCCAATTACATATCCATTTAAGCAAAAAACAGTATTCCTTAACCCCGCCATTTTACATATTTATTTCTATTTTTTTTTCCTCGCTCAACCTTTTTTTGATGTACTCAATCAACTCTAACACCATCTTCTTTCTGAACATCCCCATGCCATCAGCTGTCAGCTCGCATAAGTCCATTTCCATCATCAAGAATTCTGCAATTTTGAGTAAATACATTCCACAATTTCCCCTGTAACAAACAACCTTTTTTATATTAGTATTTTTTTATGTAATACAATTTCATATATGTAACTTATTAAGTCTTTTACTTACGATGTGTCTTGTTGTGGGCAGTCTGCAACACCCTCAATAAGAATCTG